CCCCCCCCCCCCCCCCCCCCCCCATTTGTGGGGAATCGGAGGGGGCGTGTCCGTCTGCCTTCAGAGTGGCCCCGCCCCCTCCCAGCGTCGTCGCCTAGGAGACGCTACGGCAGCCGCGCTGGGCCGTTGGGATGCTGCGGGAGAGAGCGGGGCCCGGCTGGGGCGGCCCGGGCGGCGTTGCCCGCACAGGCTTGGAGCGCGGCAGTGAGTGTGGGGCGGCCTGCGGGCGCGGGAGAGAGGTCCGGGTCCCTTGCAGCTGCTTAAGCTAGCAGGTGGGGTGGGGGCTGCTCCTCAGCTTTCCAATGCGTAACCCGGCTTCCCTCGGTGGCCAGGCTGGTTGCTGCAGAAGAGCTGTCCGGGAAGCCGTTCAGTTGCTTTCGGGGGTGGAGGTGGTAGCCGTGTGGGACTGAGGACTCAGGCAGACAGGGCTCTTTGGGGAAATCTGATCTCTTTTCCTAGAGCAGCTATTTAAGACCGGGTTTTTCCAAAGAACCTGGTCTGCACTTGCTTTTGGACCCCTGACAGCTATGCACCGAGCGCTAGGCATGCGGTACTGCTTCGCTGGCCCGAAGGGCGGAGGAGAAGCGAGAGGCGAGGGATTCTTGGGGCGCTTCCTTGTGTTGGATGAGCAGCCCCCTCGGGATGCTGACAGATGCACCTTGGGAGCCCGCGCGCTCTTTTGGCAGGGCTCGCCTTTCGAATGCCTGGCCTTGGGAAGTGTGTGGGGCTCTGTTCCAGCCATGCTTCTGGCCCGCAACAAGGGATCACCCTCAGGAAGCCTTGATAGCAGCAGGGACTTCATTTCCCCCAGCAGCTGCAGGGCCTCAGTTGCTTCCCTTGTGCTGGAAACCCCCCCGCTTTACCTCCCCCCAAAAATGTCTTTTTTAAAAAAAATCTGATTTGTGCAGACTGGAAGCCCTGTTTCTTGGGAGCTCTAGCACCGTCTGGAGTATTGCCAACACAGAAGTTTTAAAAAGGCTATTGAACTTTTATTTCAAATAATAATAGTTGCTTTATAATAAAATGCAACCAAACGTGAATATTTGGTATGGGTCAGTTCACTAACCCCTTATTCACACTCATGTGGCTGAGTAAGGTTGGCAGGATTAGATCTGACACATCTTTTCATGATTTGCTGCTACTTGTTTTGTTCTTTCAAAGTTACTGATGGGTATTTTTAAAATCTGTGGTGACCATTACTGTTGCTCGAATAAAATATGCACGTGCAGTTTGTGATGCTGTATGCATGTGAAAATATGCTTGGAAAGTTTACAGGTTATTTAAATTCTGTAAATATTTACCAGCTTTCAGGCTGGTTTGAGCAATTGCAATGTCTTCTATTTGTCCTTTAGTTTAATCCTTCCTTAATCCTATGTAAAGAGATTACTGGTGGTATGTCACTTAGAATAAGGAACAGCCTGTCACTTGCAATAGGATTTCTCCCTTCATCAGAGTATTTACAATAGTTGGTCCAGCATGGGGTGGGGCATCTGCATAACATTCAGGAAATACGTGTGTATGGAAGATTGTATGGCTGTGATCTTGCTCAGGGATCTGTGGAGGACTCTATGGGCATTCCTTTGGTTCCCCAAACTTGTGGTGAAGATGGATCCTAAATTTATAAAGGGGAAAGAAATTGGTGTGCTGGTTTAGCACATTTGAACTCTGTGCATTATTATTCTTTGTCTCTGTGTAGTAAACATTCAGCTTGGCAAGAATAATTTTACATTGGTAGCCAGGTATTCCTCCTGAAGATGGGTGAGGCCAGTACAGAGCTTATAGAAAAAAGCTGCACATCTGAACTGGGCACATGTGATTTGACACCTAAATTGTTATTTGTCAGTGTCTGTTGTAGTGGAATGTAAATCTGTACAGCATTTTTATTATGATCTAAAGAATTTCTGGATTATTATTACTTCCAATAAATGCGACATTTTTTTTGTATGGGGGGCTTGATAGTTTTGAAGTGCTGAGTGGCTTTATCTTAACTCCATGTCAGTGATGGTGAGCGGGCATTGAGCATCATGCAGGGTCTTCTCTTAACTAAAGTATGTGTATTGGGCATAGAACAAGCAAGGTGTTAAAATTATGCCATTTTGTTTTTTGTCTTAAAAGAAGGAAATGCAGTTATGTGTATATGGGTTCAGAAATAAGACATTGGAAAGGAAGTGTCCTCTTTTTTCAGTTTGTTTACTATTGATATTTGGCTGGCTGGGGCACAACGGTGCTTCAGTACTAGGTTAGCTGACAGGCAGTACTTGCACTGAAGAACCCTTGTGCCCCAGCCAGCTGTGTCAGCATCTACATGTGCATTGCTGCCGAGTTTATTAGTTTCCTATGGCCTAATAGGGCCACATGTAGACACCGAGGCATATACTGCAAAGCTAATTAGCTCCACAGTACACTTCTCATATAGATGCATCCAGATGCACAGAGGAAGATCCCTAAAGCTGAGGTGTATTTAGGCCTATCTTTAGTACAGATCATACTCAATTAACCTTTTAAGCCTTGATTTTTAACAGTTTATGTAATTATTTATAAGATTTTCAAAGTTGTTTAAAGGATTTGAACACTCAATTCTTGCTATAATTAATCCATTCCTTTTATTATGTATGTACATAAACATAATAAAAATGCAGTCAGTATATGTTTTGTGATGCTGTTTGTTAATATAAAAGTAGAATACCTTAATTTATTTAATTGGAGCTTTTTAAAAAAGAATAAATAAGCTCAGTAATAAGACCTGCCTTATTAGTACATTTCCTGGTTTTATAAACCTTATGTATCTGTTTAACTGTACCACTGTGAGCAGTCCCATTGAAATCAATGTGATTATGTATGGTAGTAAAGCTAAGAAAATTTTTAAGTGTCCTCAGGATTGGAGTTTAAGACTCTGTTATAAGACAACAGATGGGAGACTGGGATCATTAGTGTTTTTGCCTACTTAAAATTCTTGCTGTCCTTTTAATTGGCTAAGATCATGTTACCTCCTGGCCTAAATCTACTGTGTATCATTCCTGTTCACTATTAAACAATTAATGTACTTCATTTCAACATGCAGGTGGCTGCTTTTCAGCAGTGTGTAAAGTGACTTCCCTTTGTGGCCAAACTGGTTGATGTACAAGAGCCAAAAAAAATTCATATCTGCTTGCTTTTGGCATCCTGACAATCAGGATTCCTCACCAAAGGCAGAGGCACTGGTGAATGATAAGGCGTACATTACTGCTTCTGTCAGGAGACTGCCAGCTCAAGCAGGCACAACCTGCTGACAGTTGTATATGTGGTAGCCAGTTGCAGGGCTGGATAAACCTTCTCATTAGTGGACAGCAGCTACTTTCAGTATGTTGGATTCATGGTAATACTCTTTTTTAGTGGTATGGAGGGTATGCTCCCATTTTACAGGAAAAAAATCATTTGGGTGTAGTATGGTACTTAACACTTGTAGATGGAATAAAATTAGATCTGTTTCTTCTATCTCATGACAGCATTATAAAGAAACTATTCTTTTTGGCATGTTTTATTATACAGAGAAAACATCACTATAAAGACAATTTATTCTTATTATTAGTCAATTCATATAGTGGATTAGAGCTACAGAATACTTTTAATGTATCCATGTTTATTTTATTTTTTAAGGATGCTTGTAAGAATGGCTGCACTATTCCGTACCTTGCTGCTGAATCCTAAGCTGGCTGTAAACCTGAGGAAGACAACTGAGTGTCTTATGCCAGTGGGTGGTTTCTCATCATTGAATAACTACAGCATTGTGGAAAAAAACATACAATCATTTAAAAACATATAAGGAGTGTAGAAGTTCTTTATAAAAAGAGGCAAAATTAAAAGTTTTCAAGTCTTCCAACTATCCTGGTCTTACAAAATGAACCGGTACACAACTTTGAAACAACTTGGTGATGGTACCTATGGTAGTGTACTGATGGGGAAGAGCAATGAGTCAGGCGAGCTTGTGGCTATCAAAAGGTATGTGTGATTGAGTAAACACAGTTTTACATGTTTAAAGAGTAAGAGTTGTCTTATGCTTTATGGATACAAGGAAAAAGTAATTTTTTTTTTACAAGTAAACATATATCTTATGGTACGAACAGATGTCTCATTTGTCCCAGGACCGGTTTTATTTGCATTTCTCGCAGAACAGAAAAGGTGCAGGATTGGCACGTACATACCAGGACCCTTTCAGCTGGAGTTCAGTGAGGGGCTGAATGTACTGTTGCTTTTCTGGCAGCAGGTAGCTGGTGAGAGCACATATTCCAACATGCCTTGAGCTAATGAAGTGTTTGTAGCTTCCTGGGGACTCCTGAGCCCCACTCAGAGTGCCCATTGGGTGTTTACCCAGTGGCAGTGGGTGGTGTAATTGTTGTGGGAGGGATTGTGGAGACATTCATTGAGCAACTTATGCCCTGGACTGTCTGCTCACTGTGACCCACAGCTACCACCATCACCATGCTACTATCAGCCAGTCTGCAGAATGGATCCTTATGTGGTCCTCACCCTGCAGACCAGGCCATCCCAGCGTTATGAGCTTGCCCTTGAGACTGCATGGAAAAGGCACTGTTGGAGTGCTCTGATGGCTGACTTGGCTACTGCCATTTGCACAAAGAGTGAAGAAAGACAGCTTGGGAAGGGAAAGTTCATGTATTTGCTCACTGCCAACCAGCAGGAGGTACGTGGTTACGTCCAGTTCTTACTTTGAGGTGGCAGCTGCTGACCCAGAAATGTGTTGACCACAGGTTAGTATGATGCATCCAGGCAGATGTGGGAGCACCTTCAAACAGTGGAGCTGCATTTATAGGCCAGGGAGATGAGTAGCAACTGGTAGGAATGGATCATTACAGGTACCTGGGATGACCAGCAGTGGTGTATGAACTTCCGCATGTTTTGGGGTACCTTCATGGAAATCTGTGCTAAGCTTGCCCCCTGCCTCCAGTATCGGACTGTGGAGATGAGGGTGCTCTTATCAGTAGGAAAGCATGTTGCCATTGCAGCTTGGAAATTTGCAACCCCAGACAAGCCTCTGGTCAAGTGGTGCACTCTAGGTTTCTGCAGTAGCAGTGACTAAGCTCTTAAAAGCTAGCTAGCCATTAGAAATTATTGAATTGTCTCTAGTTCAGTTCTGGACTTGAAGCTAGGAGCAGTGCCTTATCTCAAGTTTTGGGTGTGCAGCCAGGTGCAGCAGGGAGGGTCTCTGTTGTACTGTTAGGTGAGGAACTGGTTGAGTCCGTAAGTGAGCCATTATCTTAACCAGCATCAATCACTGCCAAACTGAGGAGGACCCACACTGATAAGTGATGTGTTACTGAGTCACCTCTACAACACAAATGTGGGGTTTTTATCATCCAGTTATACTGCAGTGAGACTTTAATTACGCAGCTTTGCTGAAGTGGAACCTGCTAGCACACAGTACTCGCATGGGGGAGGAGGGAGGGAGAGGGTAAAGTGAGTGAGGCAGTCCCCCAGGTGACACCATGTGGTTCCAGCACAAATCCATAAAGTAATACCATAGTGGCCTTGGGGAGGGAGGTGCTGGGGCAGTCCCCAAGCAAGGCACTGAAGTTTCACAGGGGGTGCCCCAGCTCCTCACACACGCCACCATATTCCCTGCTTTTGCCCTACTCCCCACTTGTACTGAGCTACCACTTGCCATCCCTAGAAGTGGCCTGGGTCCTTTCATTAGGGATCCCTGTATGCTGGATCCCTGTTGGGAGGGGACCAACAAAGAGGGGTCTCATGTGGGCAAGTAGGGATGACTGGAATGCTATTGAGAGCAGGTGACCACAGAACTCTGGACACTTTCTGTCCGAGTCAAAGTCCATTTCCATGTCTGTGCCTTTTAGCAGGACAACTGGGGAGTCCTCGATCTGTTTCCCCTAACGGGTTGTGGCTGTGGTGATCTTTAAGGCAGCATGTCCTTGAACACAGTGGCATCAGAGTCCTCCGATACATTGGTGATGTGAGTAATATCGCTTTTTGTGATATTGTGAAGACCTGAGGCAGTTCCACAGAGAAGATGCATGTAATTCTGTGTCTGTTGACACATGGTTCGTGTTCCGTGTCCTTGCAAACTGCTGCTTCAGTACCTTGCATACGGAGCAGCCTTGGGCCTAGTCACAGTCATGTCCCCAGGTCAGTGTTTCCACAGCAGTCTGTTCAAAGACTGCCTGGTTTTTGCTGGCTTTATTGGAGCCTCCACTAATTCTTGACCTCTTCCAAATGGTGTTGAGATTGAGATTGACTACTTCCTACCTGGCCCGGTTGGTACCGTGCTTGCTCATTATGTGGGATGAGGAGCAATTGTAGAGAAAGGATGGATGGTTGTCTGACTTTGTAGGTGATGGTGGATTTGAGGGTGTCTCTGATAGATGAACATTCCTAATGGTTTGGTGTCTCTATGGTTGGCCATATGGGTGGATGGATAGATACATACAGGCTTCAATACTGATTTTGGGTGGGTGGTGGGCAAGAAATGTTTGGCAAGCTGCCACGCAAAGCAATTAATAGGTGGGAACTTTGCAGTGTCCCAGGACAAAATATTAGCAGATCTTACCCACAAACCTTTTTGGGGTCAGTCTTGGGATGGTGGCAAAGGACATCTAAGCTATCATAATTTATTATGGGAGAAAATGGAATCTCCTGGGACAAATGTGACATCTGTTCATAGCCTTCCTTAAAAGACAGAAGCTGCAGTTTTGCTAGATGCTAATTGGATGATCTTGGGCCAGGTTCTCAGTTTCTCAGTCATTGCTGAGCAGCATTGGTTTACACAAGCCAAAGTTTATAGTCCTTGATTTTTTTTTTAAATCACACTCTCATGTTGTTCAAGCATTTCTACGCATATTCCTGAAATAACATCAGGAGAATGCAATAACATTATAAACATGATGAAAGTCACAGAGTAGAAGTGAATTTGCAGTTTATAACTCAGGAAAAATTTCTGGTGCAGTACTTGCAGTTATGTTACAGTGCCTGCAATTATGTTAGTTATAATAATGCTATGAATTCCTTAGTAATTATAATTAGCTGTAGTAGTGATATCAGCAGTTTAAAGGTGGGCACGATGTTTTTCTTTACTAGGTTCAGAACTTGAGAAATTGATTTTAAGTATTTAAATTTTAAATGCCTCTTCCCTTTCAAAGGACCACCTTCTCATAGTTACTCGAGTTAGCTTCAAGAATGCAACCTGCAAGAGTTGGTAATAGCTTTTTTGATAGCTGATTCATTGTGGAAGCCAGGGCCAAAAACAAATTGTTCAGTCAGAAAGGTTTGTGACTGGTGATGTACTAAATGTACTAAAACAATGAGTATTCCCATGGACTCCTGCCCCAGCATGGCCTCTTCATCATTTCAGCTACAGCGGACCTGTGGAGTAACTCCCCATGGCTTGAAACCCCAAACCAGGTTCAGGGGCTTGTGCCTAGCCTGACTGCTGCAGCTGCTTTCCCCATGGCTATGTAAGAAGAAATTACCTTAATCTGGCCAATAATGGATTGGTCTCTTTTTCTCTTAAGGTGTTAAATTTGTTGCAGATAAATGAAGTCTGACTCCATTGTTTTTTTTTCTCAATCATTAATTGTAATTTAGAAATGGTAGAACAGATATATTTCATGCCTCATTAGATGCTTTAGTAGATTACTGTAAGTAATATATTCCTGCCTGTTCCTTGCCACACAGTTCACTGTAGCATGGCTATATGTAATCAATGATTCTAAATAAATCATATTGCCTCCTATATTAGTAAGGTCACAGTTCAGATTGCATAGCTTTCCTGATGTGTTCAGGAACATTCTGATCTGCATGGGTAACAACTCTTCTAAAAGTCCATTTGTAGAGGCTAATCATAATCTATTACACCTTCAAAAGGGTCATACATGTCCACTCAAGACCAGCGTTGATGCATGCTAACACATTTTTTAAACACTTAAATTGAAGATGAAGCCTGACTGCTAAACCACTGGAAATTGGCATATCTCAGATCTTACACTGTATTTTCTTTTTATTATAGAATGAAAAGGAAATTCTATTCTTGGGATGAATGTATGAATCTGAGAGAAGTCAAGGTAAAGTTCAGAAAATACCATTTTGATAAGAATACTATGGGCCTAGTTGTTTTCAAGAGGTGGAAGGAATGGAGAAGCCCTAAAGGACCCACCTAGTTGCCCTAGCCCAGGGGCTACCCATCGTGGAAATCTAAATGTCAGGGTACTGCAGTCACCATGCTGTGCCAGCTCTCCAAGTATTGATGAAGTTCTCTGCTACCCCCTTGCCACTCACAGAAAGAGACAATGATTGGATGCTGTGATTAAACCCTTCATTTGTGATGATAAATGAGGAATCTTAATAGCCACCAGAGCATATTTGTTTATTTGCTGTTAAGTGCACTTATTTTGTTCCACTAGTATGATAAAGGGTATATGCTGAGGGCATAATCCTGCCTTTTTCTTTGCTTTTTGAACATTCAAAAACTTCACCCATAACTCCTAATTCATCAGCAAATGCAAGGTAGAGGTTCTGTTTAAAACTTAGGTTCACATTTCCAGAAGTTGTCTCTACAATTAAGCATCTTGTTTTCCAGGTGTAAAGATTTAGACACCCATCAGAACTGCTTAGCCTTCAGAAGTCTTGAGCATCCACAGTTTTAATAGACACAGCAGCATCTCTGAAAAAAAAAGTTAGCCTCTAAGAAAGTATCTGTGTTCAGGAAAATGCTTAAGGAAAAATATGTTAAAGCAGAGCAAATTCATTGCATTTCCTTGAACAGAGTATTTGTTTGTAGCTTTTTGCTTTGGGCAGCCTTTTTTCCACCTTCTTCCTTCCAGCCCTGCTGTGTTTCGTAAGGGAGAAACTTTACAATCATTGTTTGTAATTTCCTTGCTCCTTTTCATTTGAAATGAAGTCTAATTATTACTTTACTGTTTTTGTTTATGTAAAATAATGTGGAAGTACATTATCAGCTTGTTAGACTGAGAGGTTTTAAATGTGGTTTATTCTGCTGTTTGCCACTTAACTAGCTTTTAAGAGATGAAGATGGTTTTTATTACTACATATTTGCAAGATGCTTCATTAAACTGTGCAAACATTTTAGATAAACAGTATAAACAGATTATTTCAGCTTGTGTTGTACTACTAAAGTATATTTCTTTATAGTCCCATATTTTTTTTTGCATACTGCAGTCTCCTAAATAAGACACCCCTTATTTTGGGAAAACAGAATGAAGAAACAAAGACTTTCCAGAGTCATGGGTGAAAGCTGGCCACATGGAGCTAGGGTAGTCATTGAGGCATCTCCAGAATACAGGACATCCCCTTGGTGAGGGGCGGGACAACTGGCCCCATAGCCAATCAGCAGTGAGGGGTGAAGCCGCTGCCTCTTTTGCCAATCAGCAGTGAGGGGTGGAACCACCACAAAAATGCCACCTCCCTTCCTCCTTGGCTGGCCTGGAACCCTGCTTCTCCTGGCTGTGTACCTTCCCTTCTCTAGGTACAGCCAATAGAATCACCAGGACAAATGATTGGCATGTATTTCCACCAATGAACTGAAAAACAGGACTTTGCAATCTGTTCCTCATTCAGAAATGGACGGAGACAAAAGGGTTAAAAGCAGGGAAGTTGGGTATAAAACAGGATCAGTGGCCACCCTACATGGATCAGGGATAATGTCCATACTTCAATGTCATTGCCTTCCCCCGGCTGCTCAGCCAAGAGCTAGAAGTTTTGCCCTGTCGCAGGTGCTGCCACATTGGCATCAGGTTTTGGCTGAGCAGCAGGGGAGAGCAGTGATGCTGCAGGGTGGACTCTGTCCTGCCTATTTGCAGCATAGACACCAACACAGCCATGACTGGCCCTCAGTTTTTTGGGGCTCCCTGCAAGGCATAGCTTGATGTGAAGAAGGCATCGGCGATGGTGGGGGTGGCGAGCGCAGAGGTGAATTAAGGTGCACTGGGGCCCTGGGCAAGCACAAAACTGGAGGCTGCTTCCCCCCCTCCCCCACCATGGTTAACTGGGCTTCAGGGGGTGGGGGGTAGGACCACACACAACAATTTCACTTTTAATAACCAACACTTCCTCCAGACCATGGGCTCAGCTATGGGCACCAAAATGGCCCCACAGTATGCCAACCTATTTATGAGCCACCTGGAAGAAGAATTCCTCAAAGACTGCACCATCAAACCCTTGCTATAGTTAAGATATATCAATGACATCATCATCATTTGGACTGAAAACCTGCAATCTCTGATTGAGTTCTATCAGAAATTCAGCAATCATCATCCCTCCATCGAACTATCTCTTGTACTCCAGCACCAACATCGCCTTTTTAGACATGATGATCAGCATCCAGAATGGTAAAATACAGACCACCATACATATCTGTGCAGAACCAGCAATCGCCCTGAACACACCAAGAAACTTGTGATATACAGCCAAGCCTTCAGATACCACCAAATCGGCACTGAGGAGAATACCCAGGATTGCTGCCTCACAAATCTTAAAAAGGCTTTCACACAACAAGGACACTACGCCAGAGAGAAAGATGCACATTTGGAAGAGTCATCCTGATACCACGTGAAGAATTGCTGCAGTACAGAAGGAAAACCCCCACGAATCACACACTGCTGGTTATGACAATATCACCCCTCCCTCGAACCTATATGGAAAATCCTCAAACAATTGCAACCCATACTAGAAGGAGACCCAATTCTTAAAGAGATCTTCCCAGATCCACCCATCCTAGCCTTCAAACAAGCACTGAACCTAGCTAACCTCATCACCAGAAGCATACTTCCTATGGCCCAAAACGCACCAAATGGGTCCAGGCCAGGCCATGAAAAGAAATGCAAAACCTGCCAACATATCTCCACCACCCCCACAATTACTACATCCCACAACAGAGCCATCAGCATTCCTGGATGCCCTGATGGAAAATTATGTAGGAGAGACCAAACAACAACTGCACACCAGAATGAACACACACCAGAAATCTATTAAAGACCAGGATACCCAATTACTGGTGGGGGCACATTTCTCACAAGAAAACCACTCTTTCCAATCTCTCAGCATTAATCCTCAAAGGGAGTTCACAAAACACATTTCACAGAAAAGCCTATGAACTTCATCAGCCTCCTGGATACAAAAAATCATGGATTAAACATAGAAGAAATACAAAAATGTAGAACTCTTGGTTCCAAAATGATACCTTTTATTAGACCAACTAAGAAATCACAAGAAAATTGTCCTTTTCTGCAAGCTTTCAGGTTCAAAGGCCCTTCATCAGGCTCTGAGAAAAGTATAGATGGTAAAAAGTACCCCTAGGTAGGAAATAAACTTCATTTTTGCACCGAGGGAGCTGGAGATGGAAAGCTGTCCCTCTGGGTCCAGCTTTTTCTTGTGATTTCTCAGTTGGTCTAATGAAAGGTATCATTTTGGAACCAAGAGTTCTACATTTTTGTATCTTTTCTTGTCTTAGACCAACATGGCTATCAAGTACATCCCTGAAACATGGAAGATGCTGAATTTTAGCCGATTTTGGATTTTAAACTTCATTTCAGAACAACAGGAAAGATTTTTTTTTTTTTTGTGCCTCCCTGCCTCCCATCTGACACCTCCAGGGAAGGAATTTTACTTAATCTACATACCAAAGAGCAACTCAGCACAATTCTCAAAGACACAGCTAGTAAATACGTCCCTGGACTAAACACAGACATTGGATTTATGATGCACTCTAAGCTGCCTGACATCTGACTCCCCAGGTACCTGTCCACTTTTCCCTGCTGCATTCATTCCCCTTTCCCTCCTCTCCCAGCCTGTCTCTCACTCACTGGCTCCTCTATTCACATGTTCACTGACTGCCTTTCTTGCTGCAGCCCAGCCTCTGGCCTCTTTACTATTCATTGCATCCAGGAAGAGTGCACACCAACTGCAGGTGCTTCCCCAGCCTGACCAAGGGCTTTTAAGCCCCAAAGCTTGCTAAGAAAAATGTTTCTAACTATTTAGTTGGTCTAATAAAAGATATCACACACGCACGCAGACCCCCCCCACCACACACACAAACAGCCCCCCACAGCTGCCTGCAGCTCAGTCTCGCTCCTCCCCACCCCTGTTACGCTCGTGTGCAGGGGGCTGCTGCCCCTTGTCCCAAGCAGTCCTGCAGATGCAGAGGGGAGGGCTGGGCTGGGTTGGGCCCATCAGGGAGCAGGTAAGGCAGAGCTCTCCCAGCCCAGCTCAGCCCCCTCCCCCCAAGGTGCAGCACCACCAGGTCGGCAGGTGCGATGGGGCTCTTCAGGCAAGACTCCAGCTCTGTCCCCTCTCCCCCAGCCCCATCAGTGGAGGAGGGGCCCTGCTTCCAGCTGCCAGGGAAGGAAATGTAAAAGCTGCAATTTTAAACTTGGCGCCAAAAATGGGTGCAGAGTTTAAAACTGTGGCTTTCACTTCCCTGCTGGGGAGGATTCATAGATCGTTAGGGGCTAGAAGGGACCTCGCAGATCATTGGGTCCATCCCTGCTACTCTAGGCAGGAAGACAATGGGGGTTAGGTGACCCCAGCAAGGTGACAGTCCAGTCTCCTCTTGAACATCTCCAGGGTAAGTGATTGCACCACCACTGGAGGGAGTTTATTCCACAGTCTGGACACCCTGGCTGTGAAGGAGTTTTTCCTGGTATTAAGCCTGAAGTGGCCTTCCAGGAGTTTGTATCCATTGGTTCTGGTCTTCCCCAGGGGTGCCCTAGTGAACAGTTGTTCACCGAGCTCCTGATGCGCTCCTCTGATATAGCAGTAAACTGTTATCAAGTCCCCTCTCATCCTTCTCTTCTTTAGGCTAAAGAGGCCCGGGTCCCTCAGCCTTTCCTTGTATGGCTTGCCTTGCAAGTCCCTGATCATATGGGTAGCTCTTTTTTGGACCCTCTCAGGTTTTTCCACGTCCTTATTGAAGTGCAGCACCCAGAACTGGACACACTACTCCAACTGTGGTCTCACCAGTGCTGAGTACAGCGGGAGTATCACTTCCTTAGTTTTACATGAGATGCATTAGTTGATGCATGCCAGTGTGTTTGCCTTACTGGCCACC